CTGTAAGACTTCTGGCTTGCGAATTCTGGTTCCTTAATGACTTTTTTTGAGTTTGGTAATGTCCGTTACTGCTGAGTGCAATTAATTTTGGCCATCAAGGTCCTTCTCCCCCACCCACCACCCCCTAAGGCCCTGGTCGCATAGAGATCTTTCAGCATCTCGCAGTCTTTGGGAACTTTAAGATTCTTGAGCTATACACATATTAGATGCGATCTCCCATGGAAATTCTCTGGAGGATTACATGCTACACAAGCCTCTGCCACTATTTCACCCAAAGTTCTCTTGCTTTCTCAATAACTGTCACCACTTTCCTCAAAATGGTTCCACAGTGTGTCCTCTCTTGTAATGTGACCCAAAGCGTTAGGGGGTAGAGTGATGAATAGGGAGACCTTTGCATCATGCCTTCTTGTCTTCTCTGTGCCTTCCCTTCACCTCCCCCTAATCCAAAATAAGAAAAACATCCCTTTCTCTGCCTTTCTGGAAGACACTCTAAAGCTTAATTTTTTATTTATTAATTTTTTCTCAGAAGAGGAGGTCAGTTTCACTGGGAGACAAGGGCATCTTTTCTGTATCATGAAAGAAACTCTGTGATCTGTGTCAGTATGGCTTGGCTCTTGTTGTAGCTATAGGATGAATTGTAGCTAAGAATAAAAATGTTTCATATTAATATTGCCTAAAGTTATGCCTATTGTGGAATATATGTATTTTCCTTATCCTATTGGCCTAAAACAAAAATGAAATCAAATCCTGAACTACACATCCTCATTGTCCCAGGCTCCAAACCGTACATTTTTATTAAAAAGGATTTTGGATATACTAATAAACATTAGTTTAAATTACCTGTATATAGAAAAAATTTTAAAGAGTCTGTGTGTATATGTATATACCTCTGGATACATTTCCACACTGACGAAAGAAAAAAAAAGCATGTATATCATTTCCATTCTCTATTTCTCAATTATATATCATATAGACATATTTTTGTTACTTTATAAGTATGTATTTTCATTTAGACCCATATTAATTGAAAATCATAATTTTTTCTTTAGGAACTGAAGAATGGATACATTTTGAACATCCTATATATCTTCTAGTTAAAGTTTTAATAATTTAAGAAATTACCCTGATAGATTAAAGTACACAAGATAAAAGATTATAAAATAATTTTAGTATGTTCTCATGAATTAAAAAATGTTTTATATAAATGAATGTACATCATTTTACGACTGACTTTACAGCTGACATTTTTATACTATACCAAAGATGATATAGTAGCATCTTTATTTTAGGGCCATACCAGTTCATGAAAACATCTGTATATTCAAATTGCCTGCTACAACAGACGTTTCTACTTGCATTTTTAGAAATGAAATATATATAGTGAGAATTCATTCATAATTTAAAACAAAATAAAATTTATGACATATTATAATTAAAATAAATAATGATTACAATAGTGATAGTTTATGGTATTTAGTACTAAAATGCTAATATTTCCAGTGAGTAGAGTTGTAAGTTGATGTACCTTTTGAGAAAATAAGCAGTAAGGCAAATTCTTTCGATAGGAAATATGCAGCTTTTCCTGTGTTAGCCTTATTATTTTGATATCTTTTTTACTTAATTAGCATAATATAAATTGATTTTTAAATTGATTGTGGAATGTATTAGCTGATATACTGTCTTGTTAATCTACTTTACTTAAAATGATCTGAGTTTCCTCGTATTTAAACTTAACCGAGCACTTTCTCCTTGACAAGACACGAAAACATTCTATAGGGCACAGATCCATATTAAAACATAGTATTTGGGTGGTGGTAAACACACAATGAAATATACAAATGACGTATTATAGAATTGTACACTTGATACCTATATAATTTTATTGACCAATGTCACCCCAATAAATTTAACAAAAATATTTAAAACTTAAAAATAAAAACATAGTATCAGACAATTATATAACTTATAAAGTGATCATCCTAATAAATCTGGTGCCTATCTGACACCACACATAACCAAAAACTAATATATTTTATGTCAGCTATGATTAAAATATCTTAAAATATATTTTTAAAAAATGTTACAAAATTCTCAAAAACTTCTTTCTGAAGTCTAACTACATTTTAATTTGCAGTAATATTAGTGGTGTTTATTTGGCATAGAATAAAAAATATGAACTTAACAAAACGTTATTACTTTTTAATACTTTCTGAACCAATCCCCCAAAATTATATAATTTTGCTTTACAACTAATCTGTAACTATTTCAATAGATTTTAAAGAATAGAATCAATAGGTTTAAGGTATAGCTCAGAAATTCACTTTAATGATTAACCAAGTTTTTGATAGAAGTGGTCTTCAGACCACTTTTCAAGAAATATATAAGCTGAAAATTATTCTATGTGTGTTATTACTTTACATTTCTGCCAGAAACATGAATATTATTTATTTCATAAATATATGGAGAAATACATCTACATAGTCCATAAATGTTAGCCCCTATTGGAACAAATATGGTAGACTTCTTATTTAACTTCTTAGTTTACTTAGTGATCTAGTTCTCTTCTACATTACCTGGTTACAGGCTACAGTCTTTGACTAAAGATCCAGAAGAGTGTGGAAACATCCCACTCCATAGTTTGAATAATGGGAATTTTGAAGACGGATGAAATCCAATAAAGTGAATTGATAGGGAAATACAGATAGGCTGGCATATTGAACATCAGACAATTTGAAGGAAAGTGAGTAAACTCTAGTGTGGCTACTCATAGATTTTGGCTCCAGGCTGTCAATTTTAATGTCTCGATCACCCTCAGGCAAACTGAGAACTACCGCTACTGTTAAACTACATCTTACTGGTTTTAACTAACACAATTGTTAAAGAAATAACATTTGTTAAACTGCCTTTTGTTATAAAAATAGTGTCGCCTTCTTGGAGAAAATCTAGGAAATATATAAAAGTTAAAAGGAGAAAATAAAATTATCTGTATTTTATCTAATCAGATAACATTTGAATTTATGCATTTTCACATTAAATATACACGTGTGTATGTGTGCATGCATATTAAATTGAATGATTTCATATAGATATGCACATAGAAGAGTACACAAACCATAATTGTGCAGCTTAATGAATTTTCACATAGTGAAGACACTACTCAGAATAAGAAAGAGAAATTAATTAGACCCCAGAAACCCAGTCTTATGGTTGTACAAGTCTCTACTCTCTCTTCTGCACAAGTTACCCTTATCCTGACTGCTGTCTCAGTGGAGAGATTGGTCAAACATTAAAATTCATATGCTTGCAATCATATAGTATGTATTGTGTTGTAAAGAAAACTTATATTTTGTATTTCTTGCACTCAACCTTATGTTCATGAGATTCATCCAAGTGATAACTTGTAACAGTACTTTGTTCAGTCTCGGTATTAGATATCATTCCATTGTATGTATAAAACACAATCTACATAACCATCTACTATATGCAGGCATTTAGATTGTTTTCAAGTATTGCCTATACAGCACTGTTCTCATTGTCTTTGATGTGTCTTTAAATAAATTTTATTGGGCTTTTGAATATAGAAATATGTGCAAATAATACTGAATAGCTGTATGTTTTCACAGAAAATAAAAAGCTTATTGATTTAGCCAACATACGAAGAAATAAGCCATTATCAATACCCAAGAATTTTCAGCTACGTATGGTAATATTGACATTATATGAAAAAATATAAAGTCTTGAGATAAAGTTATATTGCTCAAAAGAGAATTGGCTTTTATGTCTGTTAAAATAGGGGCAGATCACCTTAATCCAATCATAGTTTTAATCTGAGTCCTGGTTTAGACCATTACTCAACAGAGTGTAGAACTTCATTGGTTCTAACAGAAAGGATGGAATATTTACCAGGTCATCTCCTCCTTGGTATTCTGGGAAGTATGGTTTTCAGTACCACAGCCTCATGACTGCTACAAAATCTCTTCAGATTCACTCCCACTTTCTGCCGAACATTTTAACTTCACTCCCATCACTTCCAAATTAGGAGAAATTGTGTCTGTATTTTCTAAAACAAAAGTTGGGGAGTTCTCTCGTGCAATTTCATCCTGCTTTTTTCTCCTACTTTGTGTTGTTATGTTATTCACTATTTAATATCATAACATAATAGATCTTTCATTTTCAAGCCTAGGGTCCTTTTTTCCTCTAATTTTGGCTTCTGGCTTCTGTGATCTGCCCCACACTGTGACAGAGTTGAATGGAGGGCATGTGCTGTACTCAGGCTTTGATTAGAGAGAGATTTCCAGTTTGAGTCACATATGAAGATGTTCCTTGATTGTGCAAAAAAAAAAAAAGTCATTGACCTCCATACTATTCTCTGGTTGCAAAAGGCCAGGATTTACCTTTTAACAAGGTAGCACGTACTACTGTTAGGTTTACCTGCTTATCATTTATACATCTTTTGACTGTATAATCATAAGGTAATCATTTAATTAGTGTTCTATATGATCCTCAAATTTGTGGTTTAGATGTGAACCTAGAAAATTACTAATGTAGTATTTTCTGGTAGCATTAGCTTACCTTAAATACCCATTTGACCTACAGTGCTATTTTATAATACACTCATTTTATTTTTAAACGGTGAAAAATATAAGCAGTAAAAATTACAGATTTGTTACATTTCAGAGAAAAGGGGTACGTGTGTGTGTGAACAAAAGCTTGTCACTCATAAAATGTAAGTGAGATAAAGGTAAAATCACTTTCTAAAAATAAGCCTCCTGGAAATACTTGACATTTTCAAGAAGATGTTTGCCCTCTAATATCATTATTTGCCTTTTCCGTCTGTTTTTTGAGGTGCTTGAAAATTGCAAGCTTCCTTTTTTTTTTTTTTTTTTTTTGGAAAACTAAGGAATGAGAATAGTAATGAGATGCTTTCAGATAGACAAATGCCACAGTGTACTGACATCAAAATTAAAATAACTCCTTTAACCCCTTTTTTTTTCTTTTAGACCTCAACTGCCACAGTAAATGTGGTGGTGACAGATGTCAATGACAATGCTCCAGTATTTGATCCCTATCTTCCTAGAAATTTATCTGTGGTGGAAGAAGAAGCCAATGCCTTCGTGGGTCAAGTAAGGGTAAGTAGAATATGTGTTAAATGATGGAGCATCAAAATTACTAAAAGCAGTCAGTGAAAGCACTTGGGTGTTAAGGCAAGATTCTAATAAAGTGCATTTATTCTCAATCACGGTGCTGAAGTCTTCAAGATTTTATTTTTATAAATCAGATTGTGTCCATTTGGATTTAGCATATTAAGCTTGTTGATTTATATTTTATGACCATTATGTAATCTACACATTTATTGATTTGAGAGTATTCTATTCTCATTTAATATATATTTTTATTTTTTAGAATTATAATGAAGTATTTTTAAAGAACTATGTGATTATCTATACCATTAAGAATGAATTTAGAAATGCATAGCTCAAAATATAAATGTTTAGGTGTAAATTCATTTGGTGTATAAACATGTCTTTAGCATCACTATATACCTTAAATGCCCAGCATATTCAACACTCATTTCTAAGAATGTTCTCCTGATTCCTAACTGGACATATTAGCCAGTTTCTATGGTTCTTTTGATGAAAGAACCTGGGGTTTTTTTGTTTGTTTGTTTTGTTTTTTAAAGCAGAGACAGTACTTCCTCAGTTGGTCCATGTTTGTTCTTGAATATAGCTAATGTTTAAGAAGCCATGAGGGAAGATTTTGAGGAAGGTCTACATATTTTGAAGTATCTAACTTGATGAGGCATCTATGTGGTCTTCAGATAAGGAAGATTCCTTCTCTAGAAAGGAGTGAGATACTCAGGTTTCTTGAGTTCAGGCTTCAGGATCCTACTTCTACCCTGTTAATGCCTTGAATTTTAACAGGAGGTTTCTGGTGCTTTGAAGTATGTCTTCTCTATAATTCAGCCACTCTTACATTCAGACAAAGGGTATGGTTTTCAGTCGAATCTTCTCTCTGGCAGAGAGAGGGTTTCTTTAAATGCTGTCTTCCTTCTGACTTTCAAACCATGTCCTGACATTTTGATTGGCTAGTTTGAGCCCCTCCATTTTATTTTTCCCTCAGATCCTAGATGTAACAACTACCAATTCCACAGTCATTATTATTTTAATTGTCACTGTCTCTTTTAAATCTTGGAGAGACTGAATCAGGCATACATACCCTTATGCCTTTTTGTTATGCAAGTTTACAACTGGATAGAGTCTCGTTAATTGTGCTATTGCAACATGTGAGGGGGTTTGATACCATGTGGCCAGCAAGCCATTCACCTCCAGAAACGCACAAAATACCTCTGGTGTCAAAAGTTTTACTGCGGATTCTACAAGAAAAAATCTGGATACGAAGATGCAGGTATAAATAATTTTTTGAGTTTAAGTAATACTAATAGGGAATTGAAGCAGTGATGCAGAGAGGAGATGGCAGCCAGTAAACGGATTGCTACTAACCATCTATTATAAGGAGGACTGAACTTAACTCAAGGGCAAATTCTGGAAAATGACAAAAACACATTTTCCAGAATTATTGATCCTGAGAACTAATGGGTCTTACAGATTCATACACTAAATCCTGAGAGTTCTGGGTCACCCATGCTGTGGAAGGCGGCCCATTTTCATCACTTCCTGCCTCCTGTTCAAACAAACAACCAGCTCTCTGCAATTCTGATATAAGGGCATTCGGTCAAAGTGCAGAAGCTAATAGATAGGAAGTTGGCCAGAGAGAATACTTGCTCTGAGGGATAAGTATAAGGCACTAACAGCTTCTGTTATACCAAGCAAACCAGGTGATAAAATCCTTAAAAGGGGCATGTGCAGAAAACATAGAAAAGAGGCAATACTTAAGTTGATTCATGAAGGATGAATACTGGTGAGAAGCAAATTGGGAGGGTTTGAAAACCGTTTGGGGAAAGTAATTGCATGAATAAAAGCCTAAATAAGTAAGAGCATGTGACACATCCTAATTAAAGTAAATAAATGTGCCATATCATAAACATTACTCTATGTCATGGGAGGAAACGAGAGATCCCTGTAAGGTTTGAGATGTGATGTCATCAGATTTTTATTTTATAAAGATTACTCCCGAGTAGATTATAAAGGAATTTTTTTGAAATGTAAATCTTTTTTAAAAAAATTATAGTTGAGATACAGCATTACATTAATTTTAGGTGTATAACAAAGTGATTTGACATTTATATACTTTACAAAGTGATTATCACAAGGTCTGGTAACCATCTGTCACTGTACAAAGTTATTGCAATATTATTGACTGTATACCTCATGCTATACATTATATCTTGTGAGTTATTTATGTTATAACCATAAATCTGCCCTGATTAGTCCCCTTAAATTTTTTTGCCCATTTCAGCCACCACCAACCTTTGGCTACTTATCAGTTTGTTCTCTGTATCTATGAGTCTACTTTGTTTTGTTTGTTCATTTGTTTAATATGAGAAATCATATGGTATTTGTCTTTCTCTGTCTGACTTTTCACTTAGCATAATATTCTCTTGGTCTATCCATGTTATTGCAAATGTCAAGATTTCATTCTTTTTTATGGCTTAATAATATTCCATTACACACACACACACACACACGCGTGTGCACACACACACACACACACACACACACTACATTTTCTTTATCCATTCATCTATCAATGGACACCTAGGTTGCTTCCATATCATGCATTATAAATAATGCTGCAATAAATATAAGGGTGCATCCATCTTTCTATCTTTTTTTTGAATTAGTTTTTTTGTTGTTTTTTGTTTTCTTAAGATAAATGCCCAGAACTAGAGTTGCTGAATTTTATGATAGTTTAATTTTTAATTTTTTGAGGAACTTCTATACTGTTTTTGATAGTGACTACATCAATTTACAATCCCACCAATAGTGCACAAGGGTCCTCTTTTCTCCTCATCCTCACCAACACTCGTTTCTTGTCTTTCTGATGATAGCTATTCTAACAGGTATACACAGTGCTTGATGTTGTCTCAGATGTCCCTTATGCTATCCTTATTCTTTTTAATTCTTTTTTCATTTTGCTTTCTCAGTTGCATGATTTCCACTATTTGATATTCCTAATCACTGTTCCATTCTTCTGCATCATCTGAATTGTTGATTTCCTCTAGTGTATTTTTTATTTCAGTTGTTACATTCTCCAGTTCTACTTGGTTCTTTTTTACATTATTTATCTCTTTGTTGATGTTTTCACTGAGTTAACCCACTGTTCTGTAGCATTTGATGAGCATCTTTGTGACTATTGCTTTGAACTCTGGAAGTAAGTAGATAGCTTACTTCCACTTGGTTTAGTTCTCTTTCTGGGATTTTGTCTTGTTTTGTTGTTTGGAACCTATTCTTTTCTCTCCTAATTTTGCCTGTATGTTTCTATATATTAGTTAGATTAGCTACATCTCCTGGTCTTGAAACAGTAGCCTTATATAGGTATCTGGGGGGATGGGGCGGCAATGATGCAATTTCCCCTGGCTACCAGAACCAGGTGCTCTGGCTGTGTTCCTTGTGTGGGCTAGTGTGGTCTCCTGTTGTGACTGGGCTATAAATGTTATGGACACACTGGCAGGTGAGACTGGTCCCTAGCCAGGCTGGGTTTGAGGCCTGGCCACAACTGTTGTAAGTATTCTGGTGAGCACGGCAGCCCTCCCAGTGCAGCTGGCTGGTGGGTTTGACTGCCACTGCTGCTGGCACAGTGGTGTGCAGGATAGGCCTCTGATGTGGTTTAGCTATGAGGTTCAGCCTCAACTGTTGCAGACACACTGCTGTACCTTCATGTCAACTGAGGCTATTCACCAAATATGGCAGGGCAGGAGGTACTTTGGAGAGGTGACAGCCAGGGTGGGTCCTCAGAAAAATGCTACCATGGAGTAAAGAATGTTAGCAAGTTTAATGAAGTGAGTCAGAAATGGTGGCTGCTGGTGTCAGACCAAATAGTTGGAAGGAGAATTGAAAAGGGGGAAAAATGGCACCTACCAGCACTTCTGTCCCTGGAGAAAGTTCCAACAGATCTCTGCCCCTCCAGCACACATCCTAAAATTAGTCAATATATCACTTTCACCTGTAACCCAGGTGCTTTTCAAACTGCTGCCTCTGAGCTGTGACTTGGAAAGATTGCAACATTGGTTTCCTATAGCTGTTTGGCTCTTCTAGACATAAGCCCTGATAGTTTTCAAAGCCTTATGGGGCTTCTCTTCCTGGTGTACCTCCAAGTTTGTGATATCCCTCCTACTGAGAGTGGTGGGTAGAGTGAGTTCTGACTAGATTAAGTCTCTGCCCCTCCTACCCATCCCAATGGGATTTTCTTTATATCCTTAGTTGTAGAAAACTGTTCTGTTCTGCTAGTCTTCAGGTTGTTCTTTGATAGCCGTTCTATATGTAGTTGTAGTTTTTGTGTCAATGAGAGGAGGTGAGCTCAAGATCTTTCAACTCTGCTGCCTTGAACCCTAAGCCAGGAACCTTGCTCTTGAATGCCCATTTAGCTCATCCATGAAATGTTGTTTCTTGTATCTGAGGCACAGTTCTCACAACAAACATGTCTCTTGATTGCTGTGACACTCTGAAATGGGAGATTCTAAATCCAGAAGGCTGAATTAGAAGGCACTTATAATAGCCCAGACATATGAGGCTTGAACTAATATAATCATCTAATCATAATATAATTAAATTATATTACAGTTGTCACTCCAGGATGCTACATTGATGAAAACTGAAAAATTCATTTAGTTATATCTATCAGCTATTCATATAAAATCAACAGGTATTGAAATCATTTAGGAAAATTATCTTTCCAGTTTCTCTTAATTTACTGAGGATCAGAGAGATAAAGCCCACATGAAATATACAAAGAATAACACATAAGTAGACATTAGCATGATGATGAATTTTTATGTAATTTTATTTTTCTTTTATTTTGCCACTTTTCCTAGTGGTTCTTTGTATTTGAATGAATGATAGCATTAAGGTTTTTTCTTTTCTTCTAGTTCTTAAGTTTGATGATAAATGGTCTATTTAACTTATTTCAATATTAAAAATTAAAATATAGATCTTAGAACTTATAATTTGAT